CCCGGCCTGAGCCCGGCGCCGCGCTCCGGCCTCTCTTCCCGCCCTCCCGTCCGCTCCACGTGGAGCGCCGCGCCTCACCCGGCCCGCTCCCTCCCCGTCCCCTGGGCCCCCGCGGCGGCCGAGTCCGTACCTGGCGCTGGGGTCGCCCCTGCTGGTAAGGCTTGATGGGCCCCTGGTGGCAACGACGCGTCCGGATCTTGCCGCCGCCGCCGCCGCCCCCTCCTCCTCCTCCTCCTCCTGCTCCTCCGGCTCCCGAGGCCATGGCGGAGCCTCGGCGGCTTCCCGCTCCCGGGCCGGAGAGGCAGAGGCGGCGGCCTTAGGGCCTCCCCCGCCCGGCCCCGGCCCCGGCCCAGTCCCCAAAGTCCGCCCGCGCTGCCCACACAGGAAGGCGCAGACACACCGAGCTGCGCGAAGCTGCGAGGCCAAGTCGAGAGTGCGAACGCGCCGGCAGCGACGGAGGGAGTGGCGGCGGCCGCGACCCGGGATCTGGCTCCAGAACGGCTGCCTCTCGCGGGCCCCCGCGTCTGTTTTTCACGGTCTCTATGGAGATCTCCCGCGGAGGACAGCGCGAGCCTTCCCCGCGCCGCTGAGGCCTAACTCGACCGCCAGCCGGGGGAGGTTTTCCTTCCGCCGCCCTAGGCGTCGCTGCCGCAGTTGAAGCCGCCGGCGCCGCCCGCTTACACCCGACTCTGCGCACGGCGCCCGCCCCGCCGTCGTAGTCCCTGCAGTCGCCGCCGCTAATTGCGCCTATCGCCGCTGTTTAGGCCGCCGTCGCGGTCGCGAGCCAGAAAGACGTCACTCGTCGCGGGCCCTACGTTTGAATCATCACGCTGCGACCGCGTGATAGGCGAGGAGGAAAGAAGGGCGGGTAGAGCCCGCGCTCTGGGCCGCGCGGCACGCTGGGAAACGTAGTTCAGCGCGGGGACGCAGATTCTCGGAAAGGCGACACGCGCGGAGAGCCGCAGGGTTCCGAGGCACAAAGCCAGGCAAGGGACGTTTGCTGTCGGCTGTAAATTTAAAGTGTGAAGAGGCGTCTACCTTGAAAATAGGAAGCTCTTCCTGCTCTGTTTTCTCCAGCAATTGGTCAAGCAGGCAGAAAGCGAACAGTACAAGGACAGGAGCTCGTGATAATTATTAAAAAGAAAAGAAGAGAAAAACCTGCGGTTAAACAATGACCGCGATCTTTAGGCCTGGAGCGGAATTAGAAAATATGTAGGGCTTCGTTGTCAGACACACACGGCTGGAATTCTGGGCTCACCGCTCCACCTGTATGACCTTGGGTTTACACAACCTCTTTGAGCCTGAGCGTTCCCCTATAAAATGTAAACTGTAAAATCCATCGTATGAAGCTGTTGCGAGGAGCAGGCGGGAGTATACGTAGAGCACTTGGTGTGTTTCCTGGTATACAGGAAATGCAGCACATGGTTGCAATTAGAACCCATGTAGTTAGGTCACAGTATGAGTAATGTGTTCTGACTCATGAAAGTATCCATGTACTTACCCAAGTAGCATTATATTTAAGAGAGTAGATAAGGGAGCTAGACTCAAACACTGACTCCACAATGCGAAGAAATTCTGGGACCTGACAGATTTGGGTGACACGTGGTCCATCCCTCCTGTTCAACAGACAAGATAGTGGTCCAGAGAATTTAGGTCACTGAAACAAGCAGTCAAAGCTGGGATACAACCCAACTTTTCTGAGTTGAAACAGCTCTATGATTAGGGAGGAAAATCTATTTTGAAAACCACATTCCATGTAAGGTAGTTGTTTTTTTTTTTTTTAAGTTTATGATAACTTTGAGGTCAAATAGACTTAATTTATGCCCATCACTTACTAGCTGTGTAGCCTTGGGGAAGTTACTCATCCTCTCTCTAGGCTTCAGTTTCCTCATCTGCAAACAGAATGAGTATTTATCTCAACAGGGTGGTGGATCTTTGGAAAGGATGAATGTATACTTAACCCATTAACTGTTTAGATTGAAGGTATCTAATATCAGCCAGCTACAACCTACAAGTGATAAACTGCGAGACCTTTATAACATTTCCCCACAAAACTGCCCAATTCAAGTCACTATTTAAACCATATATGTGGGACTGGGGATTTAGCTCAGCGGCACAGCGCCTGCCTGGCAAGCGCGAGGTCGTGAGTTCGATTCCTGGTACCAGAAAAAAAAAAAAAAAACTTATATGTGAAGATGTGAAGCCAAACTTACAGTAGTTTTGAACCTAAGTAAATCATGTTGTACCAGACACAAGCCACAGAGTAAGTGACTTTCGGAGGCATCTCTAACCATAACCACCGAGACGAGTTGCCAAAGATGATAAAACGAATCCACTTTCCCTTCCCCCCGTCCAAGCTTCGTGCCCCCTCCACCAATAACTGACCCCTCGATTCTTCATGTACGTTCTTTTCCCTGAAGTACTTCATCTTTCCGAAATAAAATGCGTTCTTTCTGCTGTTCTTTCCCTCCTACACAGAAATCCTATTCTTGGGCTGGGGATTTAGCTCCGTGGCACAGCGCCTGCCTGGCAAGCACGAGGTCTTGAGTTCAATTCCCGGTACCGGAAAAAAAACAAAAAAAGAAAAAAATCCTACTCTTTCACAATTCTTAGCTAGGTATTTGACGAGTAGGTGCTGATAAGTGAATTTACAGGGAAGATCTGCACTGAATCTGTAACTGGACTACCTGTATAAGAGACTGAACTGGAGCCACATCCGATTTGCCGTTTTCACTCATCAGAATCAAAATTTTCAGCACATCTCTTTCTTGAAAGGGACAACCTTCATGGTCAAGTTTTGAAAGGAACTCCTACTACTATTCTGAAACTACAAATTTCAGAATAGAAGGTTGGTAGGATTTGAGGAGATAGGGATAAGCCGCATCTGAGGCATCTACTCAGTTATTTCACAAATGATTCTTTGAAGTAAAACGACATGTAAGGGGAACAAAAATGCAATAGTTCTGCATGCACGTGATTGACTGAAAACTCTACCAGAAAAGGAGTAAGAGACAGGAGAAAATCTGCATTAAACCTGGACCAATTTGGAGTCATTTCCGTTCATGAAAAGTTATTACTAGTAGGCTCTCCCTCTACCAAGAAATTTCTTTATTTTGTTCCCACATAACATGGTGATTGTCTGTCAGCCATAGATCAGCAAATAGAGAAGCTACTGACCCTTCTCCAATAGATGAGGGATATCCAACTAATTACAAAGTGGCCTCATTTATTCTTCAAAGGTAAGGCAGTTCCAGCCAAAGCAGTATGTAAGGGTAATTATAGGGAGTTAGGAAGTTCTATAGACAAAGAAAGATGTATCTGCTCTGATGCCCATTGAAGCAAATTATTTTGCTGAGATTAGTTTTCAGAAGATCTCCATGATGCTTCACTCATTTTCATGTAATGATTACTACCAAGCATTTCACTAGGTAGAAAAATTGTGAAAGTGGCAGGGTTTTTATTCTGTTAGGCAGTTTCAACTGAAGAAATGCAAAGTGGTATAGTGAGGTTCAGATTCTAGGAGGTTATTGGGGGTTTTGCCTGTTTGCTTGTATTCTAGGGGAAGAAGGGCTATAGCAAAGGGAAGATATTCAAAGATTTAAATAATTACACTCTCATTAACTTACTCTGTTCTCTGTCATTTGGGAGTAAAACAATACTTAAGACTAAATGCATTAACTAATTAAGTTTTGATTAACTACATCTATCATGATTCCAACATACCATAAGATTGTCCCTCTTCCCACGTACATCAACCAGTGCTAGGTTTTGGTATATGATGATTGTACCTAAACATATCATTTAGGGCATATTTTCAATTTATCATTCTTAATTGGAAATTCAGTTTTGTTGGAAGAAATAATGACCAAATTTAGGAAGATTGATCCTATCCTAACATGCAAGACAGTTAATGAATCATCAACCAAGATTAATTCATTGAAAAACCTATTTATTGAGAACCTACTGTATGACAGTTTGTAATCTTAGCATTTGGTGTGTCACTGAATAAAACTGTAAAACAATCTGTCCAGTTGTACACTGTACTTTATCATTTTGTGGAATTCTCTTAAAGTTTAATGTATTATGTTCTATTGACCATTAGCAATTAACACTAATAATTCACCTAAAAATTCTACATTATAAATTCCGAACATATTGCATTAAAAAATACCATACAAGCAATTTTAAGCTTTTTCAGTTTTTTTTTTAAGTAACTGTAATTCATCAGTTACTTAGAAAACTGGACTTGGAGCTGGGGATTTAGCTCAGCAGCAAAGTGCCTGCCTGGCAAGCGCAAGGTCGTGAGTTCGGTTCCCAGTACCGGAGGAAAACAAAAAAAAAAAAAAGAAAACTGGACTCACTAAGTATAAAACTATTACTTCCAAAATTCAATTTACTAGCACTAAGTATCAAGCTTATTTTTTTAACAGCATTTATAGAAAATGCTCATATTTGTCAACCACTAACTTACTGTTTTGTTTTGAGACAGGGTGTACTTCAGGCTGGCCTTGAACTCACTATGTAGCCCAGGTTGGCCTTGTACTTGTGGTGATCCTCCTGCCTCAGCTTCCCAAGTGCAGGATTCCAGGCATGCGCCACCAAAACACTAACGTATGAAGGCTTTTCTTTTTTCAAGAGTATGTCACTAATTGGTGTGCAAACACCCCTAATGTCTACATCACCCACCACCAGAAAACCACCAGCTACCCAGTTTACACAAAGCGGCTTCAGGCCCCTCACCGCTCACTGACCACAGAAGCCTCCCTTGGAGCCCAGCCCAAGCACACTCGTCCATCAGCCTCTGCGCTGTAACCAGACTGCCAGGTGACTTGTATGCACATAGTACTTGAATAGCACTGTTTTACTTTTTTTTTCTTTTTCGCAGGGTTTTACTGTGCAGTTCAGGTTGGCCTGAACTCACTGTGTAACCCAGACTGGCCTCAAACTCAGTGATCCTCCTGCATCAGCCTCCCCAGTGCTGGGATTACAGGCGTGTACCACTTAGTCCAGCAATAGCACTGTTTTAAACCTTAACTATGTGACTAGAATTTATTAAGCACACCTGAAAGGTTGAGTGGAACACTGAATACTAGTGGTGAAATATATCTGAGCACAGAGATTTAAAGAACACTGCTAGTTTTTCAATATCCTTTTTGTAAAACTTGTCTTTTGGAATTCATTCGTCAGAAACAAAACACATACATGTGGCATGAACCCCAAATGAAGAAGGAATGAGCAGAGAGATTGTGACGAGAAATATCTTATTACTTGCTTAGAATTACTATGATTTGGCTCTTTGTGAAGTAGTCAAAATGTCATTTTTAAGGCATATAAACAAGCAGGCATTCTAGCCAGGGAATATTCTTGAATCTGGATTACCAGCTAATATCCAGAATGCTGAATGAGATGTCAGGAAATTTATAATAAAATCTACAGAACTCACCTCCTTAAACTATAAGGGTATAAACGATAGTAGTTTTCTACTTGACAAAAAACCCAATTAAATAGATTACTTATTTCTAGTAGCTTGACCTCTTATACAGGTGCTATGAAGCTAGGATAATATTCAGATACAATATTTTCTCCAAAAATTACTTATGGAGAAGTTCAATTTTATAAACATAATGGACCCTTTGGTCTAAAAATTCCCCTAAGTTGATCATCAAAAGTATTCTTTCAAGCCAGGTGTGGTCGCTCACGGCTATAATCCCAGCACTGAAGGGGCTGAGGCAGGAGGATCTTGCGAGTTCGAGGCCAGCCTAGGCTACAAAGTGAGCTCAAGGCCAGCCTGAACTGCATAGCGAGACCCTCAAAAGACACAAAAAAGTATTCTTGCTCTGCACTCTGGGAGGCTGAGACAGGAAGGTTGAATATTCCCAGCTAAGCCGGGGCAACTTGGTGACTTACTGTGACCCTGTCTCAAAAGAAAAAAAAAAGGGCCAGTGATGTAGCTCAGTGCAAAACCTTGGGTTCAGTCGTCAGCACTACACCCTTCACATGTATTCTTTCCGCAGCACACACAGAGTCCGGGACTCCTACGAAAGGGAAGGCCCACGAAATTGTGAAATGCAAGAAATGAAAAATCATATTTAAAGGGGCTGACCTATCTTTCCCTCCCTCCTATAGGCCAAATATAAACACATTTGCTCATGTGGACATTTATGCATCAAAGCAAAAGAATGAGAATACCAAAGTCTGTAAAGAGCCAGCTTAGGAATTCCTTTCATTAACCCTACAGTAATCAAGGCAGAGTTATGCACTGGCAGTTTCTAGAGTGTTTTTTTTTTTTTTCCTTATCATCTGGTGAGTCTTACCTTCTTCAAATTGAGCAGAAATAACTAATATTAATTGTTATTTTCATTTGCCCCTTTTCCCAAAGGAAGCTATACTCCTACTAAAATGAAAACCTGGATTTACAACATTCTTCTTCTCCATTATCACAGGTGGCAGACTTGGCTGAACATAACAAACACAAAGGTTAGTTATGATGATTTCCAGCCAATACCTATGACTCAGTAATGTCCTGGGGCTTCAATATGGCTCACCTTGTTTGGGTCCATGACAAGGATAGTGGGATATCTTAAACTACCAAAAAGATGGGTTCTTCAAGACCCTAAAGCAAACAACAAAAAGAACTCTTTAAAAATTCTCCAAAATAAAGATGAGTGAAGTTACCTAATTCTATATTCAACGTTAAACATGGCAACATCGCCATGCAAAACCAAACAACTACAGACCTGAGCAAAGCCTGTTTAAACAACCTACCCCAGCTAAGGAAAATGATCTTCACCCACATAAGTTTAGGTTCTACCTCAAACATACATGGTCTATAGAATGGAAACGTCAAAGCAGACTATGGGTCTCCACAGAGTCCTGAGTAAAATAACCAATAGCTTTCTCAGATCACAGTGAAACCCCAGCCATACTTTAAATTAGTAACAGCTGGATCCTCTCTTTTTCATCCACTTGGTCCTAAAACCTTCCTCTTCAGAGCATCAGCAGTCTCAGAAGCACTTCTGACAAGAAGCACCCACCTGCTGGCCCATCCCTGTCACCTGAAGAGCTGAGACCAATGACTGGCGGTAGCCTCAGCCTTGCTAACGCTTGAGTATTGTCACTTCTCTTTCTTATAGTACAGCCTATGCAGAACAGCCGTTCCTCTGCGAAGTAGTGGAGGTCTACTGCTGCGGACCAAGGAGGCCACTCTACAAAGGGCACTCGGAATAGAGCCCTGGGAGGCAAACATCCCTCATCTCTTCCTGCTGGTGGCTGTGGGGGACACCTGGCCCTGAACGCCCCCTCACAGGTTACCTTTGCAGCTCCTCTTCCTTCCACATGGGCCACATTCCTTCCCTCAAGGTTTGTTTTTTGACTTTTCTCTTTCATTTCCCAATCATGAACTTTTGTCCAGTGTCCTTGGAAAAGTATTAAAACTGAGATGGAGGGGAAAATGCAACCACTCTTAGAAATTGTCTGTCCTAGTTCCTAGATAAGGAAAAGTACAGTGGCTGATTCCAAACAAGATCAAAACAAGACAGATCAGACTATTTAAACCTCGCCGGCAATTTTCTGCTGAAGACTTCCTCTATCTGCAAGCAATATAGGAAAGGCAAGACAAGACGGTTAAGGAAGGAGGTAAGAGACAAGAGAGGGACCCTGAGACCAGCAGGAGAGGAAGGTGAACTTTGAATCCTGGCAAATAGTTGGTGCCAGTTTTGAAAACATCGTAAAACGTTCTGCCAGGTTGACTGCCAACCTGAACTCACCGGTGAAATTTTCCTCCATCAGTCTTGTGGGTCCAGATTGGCTTCTTGTTGACCAAATTCAAAAGCTGTAAAATAAATGAAGGAAAGATGAGTGATACCTTGTAGAAATGGTGTTACAGAAGCTCAGAGTGTCACTTACTAGCATCATAAATAATGAAAGCCCAATACATAATATATGGGAAAGAAGAGCCGCTTCTTATAGTCCCTTCATTTTTTCCCTAACACTTTCTAGCCACAGTACAAGGCAAAATTTGGATAAATATTTCTTGAATGGATGAAGGCATATTCAATTTTGCAATTCCTGCTTTCCTTCAACTATTGTGTAATGCAAATTATCTGTGTACAAAGATGCTTTGAAATGAAAATTGTTACAATTACATGTTATTGTTAAAACACTTGTAAGCCCCCTTTCCTGTTAAGCACAGTCTTCCTCAGATCATGCACTAATTGCCATGTCAGAGGTATAATCACCTTTATGTGATCAGATCAACAGGGGGCTTTTCTTCGGAGATAACAGTATTATATAAGGACTATGAACTAAAGAAAGATAAGCATGATTTTTTTTTTTCTTTGCCTTTTTGAGACAGGGTCTCACTATGCAGTTCAGGCTGCCCTTGAACTCACTTTGTAGTCCAGGCTGGCCTTGAACTCCCAACAATCCTCCTGCCTCAGCTTCCCAAGTGCTGGGATTACAGGCATGCGCCACCGTGCCCGACTTGTGCAATACTTTAAAGTAGGCCTTTAAAATAGCATTCAGCAAACACATATATAGTATATCTTGGTCATGTGTTTTGGAGCTAGAGACATGGTGGGCACAAGTAGAAATGGCTGTACTGTTGCTTTACTTTTAAGTATTTTGATTAAATATTTATGCACATAAATTTTCTTTTGGAAGTACATTTTGTATGAATGGCTTTAAATTCTTGTTCTCCATTTTATTCATTTATTGGCTTTTTGAGACAGGGTCTCATTATGCAGTTCAAACTAGCTTTGAGCTCACTTTGTAGCCCAGGCTGGCCTCAAATTCACAACAATCCTCCTGCCTCAGCCTCCGGAGTGCTGGGATTACAAGTGTGCACCACTACACCTGGCCATGTTCTCCATTTTAAATAATTTTTCAGGCAGACAGCAAAAGCTTCAGATAAACTGCTGTGGTCCCCACTCCCCAGTTCAGTGGCCTGTACTCCAGATGCAGGTTAGAGCACCTGAGCGAAAGAGTGATTCTTCCACAGATGGTGTCCTTAGAGGTAAGCTCCTCAGTAGGAAAGGCCAGGTTACAGAAGGTACTCAGGACAGAGATACCTAGAGCAACATTTGCAGAAGGACAAATCATGTCCTCATAGGGGCTGGGGATTTAGCTCAGTGGCAAAGCACCTGCCTGGCATGTGCAAGGTCATGAGTTCAATTCTTGGTACTGGAAGAAAAACCAAAAAACAAAAACAAATCATGTCCTCATGTAATGGCAATATCTGGGTAAGCTCTGCCAGAAGCGAGGAAAAGGCCTGGGGGCACGATCTACCCACCTGGCCCCTTCATCCAGCTGCTTGCCATTCATTCCCTCTGCTGCTAGGTGTGGGCGCCTCTGCAGCTGTGGTGCTATGCTGAGGCTCTCACGCAGCCACTCCCTCTAGGGATCTGCTCATTGGCCAAGACCCACAGTGTCTCCCCAGCTCTTCCCCAGGGAAGGGCACAGAGTCCTCCAACTAGAGGACGCAAGGGCACCTGGTCCTCCGGGCTCTTCTCCCTTCTCTAATTCTCCCCAGTCTACGCCATCTTTTTCTGGGGATGACTGGAGGGAAGCTCAACCTCTCCAGCCTGCAGTGCCCAAATGCTTCTAGTTCTAAGGATGTTCAGGCTTTGGGAAGACCCTGAAATGTTACTTCCTTTTCACAAAGGAAAATGAGCACAAAAGAGTGGAGCTGTTTGGAAAAGTGGAGAGAAAGTGAGAGACTAAAGAGAGTATCTAAAACCATCTAACTTTAAACACCAGGAGGCCTTTGTTGTTCCAAGGCCAGAGCTAAAAATCAGAACCTGGCTTAATTTTTGCCTTTCCATAGCCAACCACAAGTTCTGGCATCACTATCAGATGGGACACATGGCTCCTCAGGCCTGCAGAATCCCTAGGGTGGACTCTAGAAATCTGTGATTTGGTTTGGTTTGGTTTGGTTTGGTTTGAGACAGGGTCTCACTGTGTAGTTCAGGCTGGCCTTGAACTTGCTTATGTAGCCCAGGCTAGCCTCAAACCCACAGCAATCCTCTTGCCTCAGCCTCGCAAATGCTCAGATTACAGGTGTGTGTCCCCACTCCCAGCATGTGTTTTGTTTTTCATACTGCGTGTGGAACCCAGGGCTTTGCACATGCTAAACTAAGCATGTGCTCTACCCCTAAGCTATATCCCAAGCCCTAGAAATCTTTTAACAAACTTCCAGCATTTTTCTTTTCTACTCACTCTGGTCCTCTGACCGCCTTTTGGGTACACCAGAAGTAATTTTCTTTGCTACATCCCCTGTCTTCTGTGCCCTTCTCTCTTACCCCTGGAGTGGTCAGAACCAGTTAAAGATCACTTGCCACCAAAATTTGGTGTCTAGTTCAGTATCCATCTTTGAAAGGGAAGATTATGCAGAGGCCTGGAGGATGTTCCCTTGTCTAGTGCTAGGATTTTGTATCACATTGCTATCATCCTCTAGTCTCCTGTGCATGTTGTTTTGTTTTGTTTTGTTTTGGTACTGGGAATCGAACTCAGGACCTTGCACTTGCCAGGCAGGTGCTTATGCCACTGAGCTATATCCCCAGCCCTCCTGTGCATGTTTCAAGACAAAAATCTAACCACACATTAGACCATCCCAACAGCATTATCTTCAGAAATACAGAATACAGAATAGTTCCCAGAGACCTAAATGCCAGTTGGTCCTTGTGGAAAATTATCAGTATAGATAGACATCCCAGCATGCCAAAGTTTGAGATAATTGCGAGGAAAAGCCCTAAGAAAGTATATAGATATTTCTAAAGTATATAAGTTACAAAAGAACATTTTAAATTGCTTGTTTTGATTTAATTTCTTGTTAAACCCTTCCTCAAGTTATCTGTAGGGAACAAGTTACCCATTTTTATGTGAATTTGGCTAGGTGGGCAATATCATCAGCTCATTTAATTCCAAATTAAGGTTAGGAGTGCTAAGCTAAATTGGAACTCTGAAGGATTACGTCCTACAGAGTGATGGCGGACACGATGACTAAGAATCCCTCACACACAATGATCAAGAAGACTCACCCCCAGGGATGGGTGTTCATATTGCGAAAGTCACCTGTGTTTAGGGACTTGACTTAACAAAAAGTCATGTACTGTCATTATGACATCAGAATACCTCTCCATATTACATAACAAAGCAAAGGAGGTAAAGGATGGGGCATATGGACAGGCAAGAGGAGCAGGTCCAGAAGGAAACTTCTTGGAACTAAGTAGTTTCCAAGAATTGCTTCCTTTATTTCAAAACCTGTCTCGCTCCAGGTTTAAGTTACTGAAACATACCTCTTTGCCTTTAAAGTTCACTAAGCAGCACCGGTACCTCTTTTAAGCTGACAGATCTGGAAGTAATCATAACTGATACCAACTGTCTGCCGAGCATTCCGCTAAATGGCATAAATGAAGAAAAAATAAAGAAAATCATTTTCCTGAACAGAATGTCTTTTTTTCCTAAAAGGCTGGTACAGCGATGGAGTTAGGAACCAGAGAAATCGCAGACTTCATCGGTTGGGAGAAACTGCCAAGTTCTCCTTTGGCAGACCCACAGCCAACAGGTAAGTTATTTCTTCAACTTTCCCTGTAAATGCCCATTCTGTTTGGACTTTAGTGGATCTGGGAATGGAGCCCCATGCTTCCTGAAGCAGGGTGGGTGGTCCCGGATGGTGACAGCCACTTTTCTGAGTGGGAATCAGGAGGAGGACTGCACTTTGGTGAGCTCTAGGGCCTGCTCTGGGCACTTAGCCACTGTGGACCTGAGCCTCAGGAAGGCTTCATCAATTCTCACCAAGTGGTCCCTGGCAGAAAAGATGATTTGCAGCTGGGCATGGTGGCACGTGTCTGTAATTCCACTACTTGGAACTAAGCAGTTTCCAAGAATTGCTTGGAGGCAGGCGGATAGTAGTTATAATCCAGCCTTGGCAACTTAGTGAGACCCTCAGAAAAGCGGGCTGAGGATGCAGCTCAGTGGAAAGGCCCTAGTTTCACTCCACAGTGTTATGGGGGCATTTGTCCTCAATACTATGGGTTTTGTTTTTTTTTTCTGGTGTGGCGATTCAACCCAGCGCATTGCACACTTTAGGTATCTCTCCTGCTGAGCTACATCTCCATCCCTTTTTACATTTTATTTTCAGAAGGCCTTGCTAAGTTGCCCAGAGTGACCTTGAACTTGCAATCCTGCCTCATCAGCCTGCAGACTAGCTGGGATTACAGCATGTATCAGTTTACTAGCCGAAGCTAGTACTCATGTTGTTTTAAATACTTCTACATTAGATGAAGGACTTTATTGTTTGGCGTAATTTGTCCAGCTGGGAATATTTTTTCCATTTTATTATTTATTCATTTATATTGAATATTTTGTTTCATCATAAGAAACTGAGGCCCAGGGAGTCCCAATATGGTGACTTCGTGACAAGTGGATCTCTTCTGACTCAAACTCCTGTGTGTTTTATACTATTCAGGGTGTATTTTGTACTATTTAGGATGGTGGTATTTGTTCATTGATTTTTAAAATCTTATTCAGTATTAATGAACATCTCTCATTTCTCTCTGGTTGATGGCAGAGGACTGACAGCATGATGGAGGTATCTACCACTTAACTTCAATGATCTCTCCTCAGATTTCTCATGTACTTCCAGGAAGAATATTTATATTGGCAGTTGATCCCAGGATACTAGCAGTCCATGTAAAAGGAAAAACTATTTAACTTACATGTATGTTATTACCTAGCCCCCAAAATAACTGAAGGAAATTCCTTAAAAAAAAATTAGTGGGAGGGAACAAATCAACAGCTTCCTATGGTCTCTGACCTTCTGGGACATCTCTGTTTCAAACTTTACCTGGCCACAGTTTACTTTTTCCTTGTGAGCCTCCGTTCAATAATCTGTGCCCTGGGGGGGGGGTCACATACTTCAAATTCCTGTTCTTTGTGATAATGCTTCCAGTTGTCTGCCATTGGCTGTCAAACTCTCCAGGATTTGAGATAGAGGCGGGGCACAGCAAGTCAAATGCTCTGGTAAAACACGGCAGGTTAATCATACAATTTTGTATCCTATCCATCTCTAAACTTATCATATGTGACAGTAATGAGGATAACATTATTAAGCCATGAGGGGAAAATAAACAAAAGACCCTAGTGGACAAAAGAGTTTATCACAATGTTGGGAGAGGATAAGCAAGGACAAAAGAAAAGCTCCTTCAGCAGGCAGAAGACAGGAGATGATACTTCTGACAAAATGAGAACTCCGGGAGAGTCCTAGTGCTCTGGAAAGCTGGAGAGGGCGCGTGGCTGAAAACAAGATGGATTTGGTGTGTGGGTATGTACTATTGATTCCTAATTCTCTCCTACCCTGAGCAGCCAGGGAAGGAGGGGACTCTTTCTCTCACCTTCATAAAAGTCAGGGGATCATTCTCCAGAGAACTGGGAATTGCACAGAAGGTCGGGTTCAGTGTCTTCATTTGTACAGTAAGTGTACAGAAAGAAGTGGACACCTTCAAACTGAACATGGGGTGGAACACAGCCCCTCCCCACCTTACACCTGGAACAGCACAAACCCTACACTTATGTCCCCATATATTCAAGCTACAGTGTTCTTTGGCTTAAAAAGACCCTTAGGGGGTATGTTGGTTTGGGGCGGCTTATTTTGCAAGGGGAACAACATAATACAGGACACATACTTTATATGATTATTTATAAGTCACCCAAAGAACAGTATACAAAAGAGTGCAGGAAATCTGTCCACACACTAAGACCAAGGAATCCAGCTGAGGGCCTGGATCCCACAACCATGCCTTCCATGAGTTGAGCTAAATACCCAGAGCTCATAATAGTGCCTCCCATGAATCCAACTGGAGGCCCAGAACCCATGACAACGTCCCATGCAGTCCTGTTTCATGGATCTGCTGGAAAGGCCCAAAGGTCAGTGGTGGAATCTACAAAGTCTATGCCAGCAGGAAGAAGGATCTGTGCTAGCAAGCTGAGGGATCTGCACTGGAGCCAGGAAGTGATGCTCAGAAGAACCAGGGCTCCTCCAAAAGGTACCACGGCCATCCTGGGCAACTGTGAGGTCCCGAGCTCCTCCAATGATCAGAATGGCCGAGTTCCCATCAGGGAAGCCAATGCAGCAGGCTTTTCCAAGAGTCGGGCAGTGCATCATCTTCCCCTCTGGAACCAGGAAGCTATGCTCAAGTAAGGACCAGAGCTCCCCAAAGTGAACCAAAGCCATTCTCAGTGCCAGCGAGGTCCCGAGCTCCTCGGAGGATGAAAACAGCCAAGTTCATCAGGAAGCCAGCTCCCCACGGTCTCTCTCAGCTCCCAACAGCTTCTCTCAGCTCCCAACAGCCTGCTTCTTCTTCTCCAGGTCTGCCTCTTATGCTGGTGGCAACAGTCCTCAGGTGGGCCTCCCACACCCAGCACCACTCACTCAGTTCAGCTGGGGGTTATAAGTTGACCACCAGTTATCAATCCACTACAGGGGGGAAAAGGGAAGGCTATTTTCATATTGTGGTTATGGGTTTATTTGGATCTGTGTTGACCTTTTTGTTTGTTCTATTTTCCTTCTTTTTATCTGCTTTTTCTTTTCTTGCCTTTTAACGTATCACTTGTTATCCTTGCCCCCCACCCGCCCTGCCATTTGAGACACAGCTATGTAGTTCAGGCTTGTCTTTTTTTTTTTTTTCTTTCTGTCTTTTTGAGACAGGGTCTTGCTATGCAGTTCAGCTGCCCTTGAGCTCACTTTGTAGCCCAGGCTGGTCTTGAACTCTCAATGATCCTCCTGCCTCATCCTTCCAAGGGCTGGGATTATGGGTATGCACCAACATGCCCACCCAGCCTGGAAACTGTATTTCCTTTTCCCTTTTTTTTCAGTGGTTACTTTAAATTTTAGCATGAATTATCTAAAATTGATCTGTAGCTGTATCCTCTTCCAACTTAATACCAGTACTTTAGAATATTTCTGCTCCAATCACTCCTCTTTTGACAATTTCAATTCCACTTAATTTTCACTGCTTCACAAAGTTTCACTGATGCTCATTTAGATTTATCCACATATTGACCAGTTTCTTTGCTCACCATTCTTACCTCTTAATCCTTTTTTTCTGAATTTAATTTCCCTTTCTTAAAGTACTACTTTAAATAGTAAGATTCTCTTATAGGTGGAAAATTCTTTCAGTCTTTGCCTAAGGTGGTATCATTTGCCCTCATTTTTAACTTACTAGAAATTGAAATACAGGTTGATACTTTCAGCATTCTTAAGCTATCCCATTGTCTTATGACTTCTGTTGGTGTGTCTGGCAAGTCTGCTGTTGATCTAATTATCTTTTACTTGTAGCTTACAGGTATTCTCTCTAAACTCTTTATCATATTTATCTTTGGTGTTTGCCAATTTCATGTGATATGTCTAATTGTTGACTTATAAAATTTTCCCTCTAGGGACTTATTGTATTTCCTAAATCTGACAACTCACGACTTTCATCATTTTGGGACAATTTTAAGCAATCATAGCTTCTCCTTTTGCCTTTCTCCATTCTTACATGCTTTTCCTTTGATGAGCTTATTAGAAGTATGCTTGGTCTTGTCACTCTTTCCTTTTCTCAGTCAACCTCTCTTCTGTATTTTGCTTCTCTTTATCAGACTGTGCAATGTTTTCAGTACTCTTCCACTTACCTGTCTTTCTTCTTCAGTACCTATTCTGCTGTTAACACATTTTTTGACTTTATTCAAATGATCTTAATTTTCATTTCAAGTTCTTGGTTTTTTTGGGCCGGGGATATAGCTCAGTGGCATAAGCGCCTGCCTGGCAAGAATAAGGTCCTGAGTTTCACTCCTGGTATCAAAACAAACAAACAAACAAACAACAAAAACACAACAAAAACAAAAATCAAGTTCTTGGTTCTTTGCTAGGGTCCCTGTTATTACTCCTTGGTGACTTTTCAAAGCTAAGCCACCCCATGAAGGAATGTATGTCATCCACACTGAATAAAGAACCACAGGGTAAAATGATCTGTAGGCAGGAACAAGACATCTGTTTAATATTAACAAATATTCTTATTGCATGGTTGTTTATCCAGTATAAGAGATTTCATGTGCAGTGACCTCATGATCATGTCAACAACCCCATAAAGCAGACACTGCTGCTAACCCCATTTGTAGAGGGGAAAGCTGAGCCTTAAGTGAAGGATTTGATAAGAACATAAAAGACAAAGTAGTGGAGCTGGTCTTGAAAATTGCCTTCATCGGGGTGTATTAGTGTCAAAATCTTGTTAAAAGAAGTGTAATGACTGGGTGTGGTGGCACATGCCTATAATCCCAGCACTTGGGAGCATGAACAGGAGCATCACCATGACTTTGAGGCCAGCCTGGACTACACAGTGAGTTCAAGGACAGCTTGAACCACATAGTGAGACCCTGTCTCAAAAGAGAAAAAAAAATGATTGCCATATTTAGGTTTGATTCCTAGGTTTGAATTTTCAGCAGAAAAGGAAATCTGCAGGCAGTGGCATTCTTCATTCTCCTAGTCAGCCTGGATACTCTGCCATCTGTGTTTCCTTTGTTCAGTGACATTCAGCCTGTAAGGAGATGAACCATAGCTGTTGACTGAAAGTTGGGGTGTCTGTCATACAATTCCAGGGAATAGGTAGGTAAGAGCTATTGAAAAAATTAAGTTCATTCTAGTGTCTTCCTTAAGTACAGAAAATTCAATTCCCGGCACCAAAAAAACCCCCAAAAAACAAAAACAAAGAAAACCTGAGCTTAAGTACAGAAAGGAGGGGGGGGAGGTAGCTTAATATTAAGTGACAATCCTGAAACATTACTCCATTCAGGTGGTTGTCCCTATCAACAGTGATAGCACGTTGATAGCATGAACTTTTCAAATGCTGAGATCTTCCCTTAAAATCCCATCACTCCAATCTCATCATTGTGAAAAACACCAGACAAATTTAGTATAGAGGCTCCTATAATATATTTTACTGTATGCCTCAAAAATGTTAAACACCTCCAAAACAATTCAAGTCAGATACTGTCACGGCCAGGAGGCACTCAAGAAGACAGGAGAACAAGATGTCACATGGTACTCTGGATGGAATCCTGGAAGAGAAAATTGAATTAGGTAAAAACTGAGGAAATCTAAATCAAGTGTCAACTTTCACTGTGTGGGTGTGTTACAATCTTTATATACATAGCATGTATAACATTAATTTAAAATCATTTTTAATGGAGGGGAGAGAAACAGAGTCCTTGGAGAACAGAATATTATGTCAGTATGCACAATATTGTAAAGCTGGTTCATGCTCCTACCTTCCTGCTAGGAAGAAAACCTCAGGTCTTCCAGGGCAGTTCTGACACTATGCGACTCTTCCATTTAGTAAGTAACTTCCAAGTACCTGCTGTGTCCCTGACCCTACACTAAACAAAGGGAACACAGTGCTGTATAATACAGGCAGCGGTCCTACTGCACAGAGCAGGGAGTTTAGTGAGAGAAGAAACCAGAAAAAATTAAGATTATTTAATTACAGCATTTACAGTGGTACAAAGGAGAACTACAGGCATCTCTCATCATGAACAAGAGCAGAAGCCCAGTGTAGTCGGAGGAATTATCAAAGGTTTCTCTAAGGAATTTGCTTGAACTAATACCAAAAGGATATCAAATAAAATAATGAAATAATCCCACCTTTGCCAGTATCTTCAGAAAAAAAGGCTTGTATTCATAAACTTTTTCAGTGTTAATCATTAATACTTCTTGCCTTTATAAGGAAAGATATTTGGAGTTTCTGTTATGAGCAAAGCCATCAGCCAGCCGTGTACTTGTGCCTCGAATGAAGCAGAACTGAAAAGAATCAAATGAGAAAATATAAGCAAAATTAAGTTTCTGATCCTTTGCCTCCACCAAGAATACTAGTACAGTTTTGATCCTTATTTTTAAAATAGCTTCATTTTAAATGAATATTCTCGGTTGAAGTTAATAACTTCATTTTTCCATCAAATGTCCCTTCCTTCTTGCCCTGCTTATGAATTTAAAAAATTAGGTCAAGTTGGATTTTTATATTCAGATATAAGTTCCAGTTAGCTTTGCTTTGACCTATAGCTTCAGTTGTATGACTTCTAATATGTCTATACATGATTTCACAGTCCTCTTCTCCAAAGGAATAGCCCGATATTCTCCTCCTCCTCCATGGGAATCTGACTTTAGGATCTCCCTTCTAAGGTTTAATGCGTGCAATATGAAGGAAGTGAAGAAGTGAGACCTCTGAGACGAGGTCATAAAAGGGATTGTGGCTTCTTTTCTTGAACCACTCACTTAGGGAAGCCTGCGGCTGAGGCACCAGCTTGCAAGCTGTGTGGAAAACACACTAAAAGTGGACCCTCCTCCAGCCAACCACAATTCTGGCCGACACTGACTACAGCTTACTAGAGATTGGAGCTAAAACTACTCACTTACCCACACCCGAATTTCAGAACCATGGGAATGGTGTGAAGTCAGCTGGATGTAGTGGCTCACCTGCAATTCTAGCACCCTGGGAGGCAGGAGGATTCCAAGTTCAAGCCTACTTTGGGCAACTTGGCAACTTAGACTCTGTCTCAAAATAAAATATAAAGAAGGGCTGGGATGTAGCTCAGTAGAAAGGTCCTGTGTTGACTCTTCAGCATGAAAAAAGGTGTGAAATGATAAATTTATTGTTGTTTTAAATTGCTAAGAGTAAGGATAATCCATTATGCAGCAACAGATAACTAATACTGTCTTTCTTACAAAAATACACTATTGCATATACAAAAGCTAGCATAAAAAATACAGGTAAATTGTCATCCCCATGTAAAACAGCCCTGAGTACAAGTGGTACGAGGTTAGATATTATATCCTCATTCCAGTGATTTTTTTTTCTCCCTGTCAGTTGTCCCAGCTAGGTATTTACATCTAATGTTAGTGAGGAGGCTTGGTATATCTGCAGTTAACCACATACGACGTATACTATGCTGATTGAACAAGGGTGATGAATCACACAAAGGTGTAATTTTTCACTGATGTGTTAACCAAAAAAAAATCTCAGGAAAAGTGGTCCACTGAGCTGTGATCTCCTCAAATCTGCCGCTGATCTAGGAAAAGACAAACAGTAACAGAAATTTAAGAATATCTCCATGGCTTGACTCAGACACACACCGAGGAGATGAAGGCTCAGAATAACTGCTCACAGCTATTATAAGGACAGTTTTCCAGTTTTAAAATAAACTAGTGGAAAGCGCTGTAGATACTGTGAAAGGGTCAAGTGGCTTCACACTACGCTGAAACCAAACTGGACTAGTTTTCTCTGTCCAAGGTGATCTTCTCTTCGAGAGACTCCAATTTCAAAACTTACCTGCTTCTTCAGCACTAACTGTTATGCTAATCAGCGGCCACTGTCTCCATGCATAGGGTCCCTAAGGGACATAAAGGCTTCTTTCCAGGGGCACTGAGAAAATCTATGACCACTCCAAGATCGTGGCTGTGTCTGTGGGGTTCGGAAACCGTTGCCCACGCCCCCCCGGGCTTTTTCTTGGGTTCGGTTTTTTTTTTCTTTCTCTTTTTTTTCGATACTGGGGATTGAACTGAGCTACAGTTTTCTAAGTGAGAGATGTGTAATCATGCACAGGCAGCCAAGGAGCCTCCCAGGCTGGGAGAAAAACCTGTTGATTTGCTAAGAATACAGGTGGGTGCACGGCCCAGAACACTGGGAAGATACAGACCACGGAGCTCTACTTATACACACTGTATCCAGGAAACAATGACCATTATGTGGGGCTCAAATGTATAATTCCTTTTTCCTCCCCGCAGGGGATTAGAGGCAAATGACAAACAGGTTAAATTTAGACCCTGGGGTTTTGCTTTCACTCCTGTCAGCACTGGTTCCCGCTCTGAAAGGGCGGTTCTTGCCTTTTGTCGTCTGGGCGGTGGTGGCGCCTTCGTGGTTCCAGGTTCCTTACCTGCAGGAGACTGTGCAACCTTCAGGACACCTGGTGGGAAGCTGATAGCTCTGCAGATTTCCTTCTTCCGGGACAGGAGAAAACCCAAGATGAACTGCTGGCTACGACAGCTTAACTTTGCATTCTGGTTTTTGAATTTTGGAGTCAGGCTCCATATTACAGAAAAACACGTATGCTTCTGTTACTGTACAAAGTCGAAGGCCAAATCCATGCTGGTAGCACACGCTTTTCTTTTTAGAAAGAATTTGCATTCCTTCCTTGTACACCTTCAAAAGACCCTTTGTTTTTTTTTTTTGAGACAGGATTTCATAATGGAATGCAGGCTGGCCTTGAACTCGCTTATGTAACCCAGGCTTGCCGCGAACTCAGCAATCCTCCTGCTTCAGCCTCCTTAGTGCTGGCATTACGGGCGTGTACCACCACTTCCAGCTTTTTTTTTGTTGGTTTTTTTTTTTTTTTTCTGGTACTGGGACTCGAACTCACGACCTTGCACTTGCCAGGCATGCGCTGTGCCACTGAGCTAAATCCCCAGCCCTTCCAGCTTTTTAGACCCTTTCCACTACATGACCAGAACACTTTACGTCTGAAAAAAGCTTAATTATGTAATTAGCTGCTTTTTTTTTTTTTTCCAATGCTGTTCTAAAGCTTGAATATTGTAATTTGAAAAGTAACTGTTGGCTGAAGCAGTGTAATTTAGAAGACAGTACCTTGCTCTTGCCCAACTCTAAAGGTATTTTTATAAAGTTATTCTTCCCATAAATCAGTGCCACAGAAACGCAAGGCTGTTTTTGTTAGGATGTGTGTCCAAATGACTGTAAGCAAATGTGACAGCACTGGTAATACTGTACTTTGGAAATTAGCTGTGAAACACATGCCGGGGTTGAGCCCTGCGACCACTTCTCCCAGTCATCATGGTGAACAGTGGTGTCTGTGTCCCGATGCCGCTGTTCTCTCACTAGGAAGAGAAACAATTTTTTCGTTTTTTGTCTGAAACTATATTTTCAGTCTCATTGTTTACTTAATATTAAATAGCTGCTTTTCCTCCCTAGCCCTGTTCCATAAAATTCAGCGTAAGTGTTGGTCTCCCTTCTCCTGGAAGTCTGTGCACATTACCCTTCAATCCAGAGTGGGCTAGATCTAATTTTTGGTAACTTTAGAAAGGCTCTTATGAACACCTTAGATTTTTTTCTGACAAGATTCTGTCATAATACTGTTTTTAGGTAATACTTTCACAGTATGCTATCTTTATCCACTATTTTACAGGCAGCAAGAGCCCGCTGGGTGCTGTAAAGATTTGTTTAAGCATTGTGAACACAGCAACACACCATGTCCGACCTGCTCTACTCCACCTCCCCGTACCATGCTGCTCGGCCTGGAACTCCTGAGACGCCCCACACCAAACCCATGAAAGTGCCTAGCACTCTCTGCAGGCGGTCCGCTGCTTCAGGACATGTCACCAGGCAAAACACAGAAAGGATAGCTACGATCCTGTCTTTGCTACAAGCGCATCATTAACCTGTCTTAGCTTCCCATGTGCGAAGCACTTAGTAGCAGTAGTACTGTTGACGCCTGTTGCTGTCTGATGAAATTATAATAGCACATGTCTGAGACAGTCCCTGGTAAACCCTCAGGAAATGTGAGCCGGTGTTGTTTAAAACTCTCTAGGCTGTGCATACATGTATATATGGTGAATCGCACAGTTACTGAAGACAAACGATTGATGTTTTAAAATCTGAATTAGACAGTTTGTATTCTAAAACACACACATACACACAAATCTGTACCAATTAAATACAATAATGTTGAAAGGGGATATAAATTACAGTTCTTTTTAAACAGACAGTAAAATACTACAGTCAGCTCACTATACACAAAAATCATGAACAGCAGCTTTTCAATAAAGTCTCCAATATCTCACTCATTGACCAATGCTCAAAACTTCACGAACAGGTACAGCAGACTGTACACACTCTCCACTCCCTCTCAAGACAGCTTTACAGTTCACATCTACACCCACTGTACAGGCATCTACAGAACAGGTACATAGGTACTTTTGTAAAAATGTCCACACATGATTCTACATCTCTGCTTGTAGAATTTTACAGACGAAGACATAACAGCAGGGTGGTCTGTGTTCAACCATCTCCTGCAAACATGAAGCGTGAATTGGTGAACTTCCCAGTTCCGTCCATCTCTTCAGCGTTGTTCAGAATCAAGCAGAACAGCAGCAGCAAAACCACACCACAGTGAAAGCTGCCAACCCCAAACAAACCCGCAACCCCACCCTGGATCCCTCGGCACCCAACCCCAACCCCTGGGACCCACTTCTCTGCTTAGAGTAATACTGTATCCCATTGCCTGGCTGGGCTGAACCAAGGTACAGGAAATGCTGGCCTGGAGTCAGAGCCCCAGTCATTGTCACTGGTTACAATATAATGTCACGTCAGTAGGTGCTGGGCCAGGTGGAAGACCAAAGAATGTAGCTGTGAGATTTCTTAGTGTGCTTAGGAAACAGGACAGAGAACGGCAGTGCGTGGCCTGGTAGCCAAGGGAGTATTGGCACCAAACTTGCAGTCAAACACACACGCTCATACAAAACAAGAGTGGACAGCAAACACGTTGAGTTTTGTGGAAGTTCTTTGGTTATAAAGAACAGCATTCTATAACCTTTTCTACAAAGAGGGATTTGCGACCTCTCTTGGGCAGTAAAATATTTTTCATCTGCTCATATAGAAGTGATCACCCAAGTTGCTTTGTAATGAAGTCCAGTACCTTATGATTTTCTATAAATCACTTTTATCTGCATTTTAGTGTGCAGCTGTGTCTGTCTCTGAACAGACATGCCATAGATACACATTTCATATACATAATATATATTATTTATAAAAAAAATTAGAGCATTGACTCCAGATTCTACAGTAAGAACTGATTAAAATTGTACAAGAATAAAGTTTGTTTGAAATCTGTAGAGGTTTCTACACAGTGTGGGTGTGTAGTAAGTGCAAACAAAAACACTGTCACTTAGTTAATCCAAGACTTCAGTTCTCTTGCTTTCTGGAAGAAGCAGAGGCTGGGATTCACCGTGACAAAGTGCTGCTTCCCCTGCCAGGGAGGGGAAAGCGCCTGGCTCTCCGTGCGTGCTGGTCTGAGGTGCGGCTGGGCTGCGGCGTGTGGCAAGGTGCTGGTAGGGCTGGCGTCTCCCACGGCGGCGACCCGGTGAACAGAGCTGCCGCGCTGGGGCCGCGGAGCAGTGGCCTGCTACCTTTCACCTCGAGTCCGTGCCTCCCTGGAAAGCAGAGCCTGGTGAGTCGGAGCTCTGGGCCCCAAGACCTCCCCGAGAGCCCAGCCTGAGGGGACTTTCAGGCCTGCATTCATTATGGAGCCAGTTCTGGAATGCACATTAAGCAAGGGAGAAGCCCACCCCGAGGCGAGGCTCCTGGGTAAAGTGTGAGTAAGACCCAAAGTTAAAGCTAAAAAAAAGTCCTTTCTGGATCCATGTTCTAAGGCATTTCAGGCTGACAACCAAAGTCCAACTTTAGTACTTACATAGTTCTCAAGTAGACTTTAATACTGTCACAGCGACTTCGGAAGCCAGTGTAGAGGCTGCGGGTGCAGCTCAGGGGCTGAGCACTTGCCTAACTCGTGAGGGGGGCTGGGTTTGATCCCCAGTACCACAAAGAGCAAGGACAAAACAACCGCAGCAGAAAACCAGTGTAACCAAACCACTAAAGCAAAATATGTTTTTAAAGAAAAAAAAATCTCCACAATTCCACTATCTGATGCAACAAACCTTTCTGTAGCTTCACTTTAGAACCAAGCTCTCTGCCAGGGACACACTGCTCTGGGACCTTTCAAAAGCAAAATGTTTCCCATTGGTTTCTAAACAATGCAGACAAAGAAACAAGAGGGTCGTTGCCCTCTCCCCTCCTCTGTGGCCATGACACCCACCTAGTCTTTTACCCATGATGCTTTGCAAAAACCTGGTTTCCCCTGCTCTGCCCAATATAAAGCAAAATCTGGTTGGAGGGTGATTTTTAAAGAGCCTTTGGATTTTAAGAGGCACCTTGCATAACTTAATTTCCATGAGAAAAGCTAATTCTTAGAGTGAAGCATTCAAGAGGCCGTGACTTTGCTTTTTTTTTTTTTTTTCAAAGATGATCTTGTAATCACTGTGTACTCCAGGCTGGCCTTGGGACTCTCAGCGATCCTCCTGCCTCAGGCTCCTGGGTGCTGGGACTATAGGTGTGTGCCACCCTGCCTGGCTGACTTTGTCTTTCAACTGAAAAGCCAATGCAGGTAGCCTATAGAAAGCTTCAAAATCAGTGTAAAGGAAATGGAAGACTTTTAAACAAATTCATGTTTAGCTTGCAAGGACAAAGGCAGAAAAAGTGATCAGTGACTTGTTTCTTTTTTTCTCTCCATCCTTCCCTCGATTCTTTGCTTCTTTCTGTGGTACTTCTGATCAAACTCAGGGTCTTGCACATGCTAAACACATGTTCGACCACAGCACTTCCCTCCCAGAACCACCCCCATTTCTCTGCCATACTGGGGATCAAACCCAGGGGTGGTCTACTATTGACATGCATCCCCAGCCCATCATTATTATTATTTACTTTTTGAGGCAGGATCTCACTAAGTTGCCCAGGCTGGGCTCCAACTTCTAATCCTCCTGCCTCAGCCTCCCTCAGGGGTGGAATGACAGGCATGTGCTATCACACCTGCCTCCCTATTACTCTTGTATTGGGGAAAGAAATCTTTTTTAAGGGCTGGTATGGGAAACAGGGGCAAATATAGAAAGAAAAGTCTCCCATCCCAATAACGTCCTCAGCAAAAACAGAGAGGACAAACTGCACCATAGTTATCTGTCCTTTACCAAGCTTCTGTCTGGCTTGGTCAGCTCTTTGCTTTTCTAAACCATGGCTCTCCTGCAGCTTATACAGGTATGGGACCAAAATAAGTAATAAGAAACGGCAGCGCTTAGCAATGGAATACTTAGAAGCCAATCTTCTCTTATTTATGCAATTTGTTATTTTTGCTTGGCAAAAACCTGTTCTGTCCAACAGAAAAATAGTAATATAAACCAAGCGGGGTAGCATTTGAAGCCCAAACCTCAACTGTTCAGGAAACTTGTGTATGCCGCCTCACAAAGCAGTTGTTCATTGTGTGCACCAAATTACTGTATCTTATTAATTCTATGTTGCTTATGTTTTTTCCCCATTTTATTTTTTTTTAAATTTTTTTGTACTGGGAATCGAACTCGGGACCTTGTGCTTGCCAGGCAGGCACTTGTGCCACTGAGCTATATCTCAGAACGTGAGGTATCTTACAATTGCTTTTTTTTTTTTTTTTTTGTGGTACCAGGGATCAAACTCATGACCTTACACTTGCCAGGCAGGCACTTATGCCACTGAGCTATATATATCCCCAGCCCCTTACAATTGCTTTTTTTGTTTTGTCTTTTTGAGACAGTTTTACTATGGAGTTCAGGCTGGCCTTGAACTTACTGTAGCCCAGGCTGGCCTCAGCATCTTCCTGCCTCAGCCTCTCAAGTGCTGGAGTTACAGTGTGTGCCACCACGCCCAGACTGTAATTGCTGATATAATTTTTTTTGCAGTGCTGGGAATGGAACCGAAGCTCTAAGCTATACAGGCAATGTTCCTCTACTGAGCTACACCCCAGGCTCAGTGTCTCTTCTTTTTTAATGATATATAAAATAATGATGTATAGAATAAGCCAAAGAATTACAAATTTGATATGGTAGCTTCTACCAGCTTACTTTGTGATAGCCAATAAGTAAACATCTCAGGGAATGAACAAAGATTAATTTATCTTTATCTATTTGAATGCTTAATTCAATACCAACACATGTGCCAGTTAAAAACCCATGGATCCTCGGGTTTGGGCTATATAGCTCAGTGGTAGAGTTCCTGCCCAGCATGTGTAAGGCCCTGGGTTCAATGTCCAGCACTGTGAGAAAAAAATCCCATTGGTCTTATAGATTTCATGGTTCTACTCTGGCCGCCATAGCAGATCTGCCCTCCCCACAGTGAGTGAGCTCCATGGTGGTGTGCTTGCTCCCCTGCAGGCTCGCCCTCTCTATAAGAATCAGCAAGATGGGTATTTCTTTCCAAATCACAGCGGTGAAGGGCCTCTGGGTGTTGGTGTACAATTAGATATGCTCACCGATAGCACAGAACTCGAAGGGCTGCGTCTGGGATTTATTACCTGGTCGTTCTCGAACTTGGAATGTAGCTCATCAGTGTCCTGTGGCCCGCCTGGAGCACTCTTACTCTCTGTTCTATTTGGTAGGTTTCTCCTGTTCGAAGGCTGTCCCGCAGAAGAATTTGTCAAGCCATCAAACTCTTTGCCGTCAGAAACGCCCATGAACTCTGTGAAGGAATGATCCTCAAGGATGTTGGTGGTGTGTTCTACGGTCACCTCCTTCGAGCAGAATTCTCGGGCTGGCGGGCCCTTCTTGCTGGGGCAGGCATGCAGTTCTGAACATGAAGCTGTCCTACAGAGCATTCTGGAGTTCCTCTCAGGCATGCTGTGGGATGCTGGGCTCCCTTTGGCTAAGGCACTGTTTTCTTTGAGTGGCACCGTGATTATCTTATCTTTTC